ATACGTTTCTAATAATATAAAACTAACAGTTGAAATGTTATGATGACAACTGATATGATTATTAGCTTTGTGATAGACATAGCAAAACCAATTATGACTGCTAAAACATATATCAAAAAAAAATGTCAGATTTACGTAAATTATTTAGTAGTAATATATACCACTTAAACCAATATAACAATTCGTAGAATAAACCAAACGATTTCTAAGAGAAAAAAAATAAAAACTGCTGAATGCGTCGATACTACTAAAAAAAAGATAATTAAAGACCATTTTTTTTTTAAACTTAATTTTTATTTAAGCTATGTATTATTTACGTGGAACCATACATTTAAATAATGGATAATAATATAAGATAAAATAATGACAAATAGTACAAAATAAAGAGACTTCTTAGTAAAGATACTTCATTGTACATAAAAAAAAAAATATATTTTAAAATAAACTCGATCAGTCATAAAATTATGTAAAAACCAAAAAGGAAAAAAATAGGCTGATACACAAAAAAATGTTTTGTAACTATTAGAAGACTACTGCGTTGACAACAGTCGGTCAAGAACACGTTACGTAATTTTTAAAATATAAAGTTTTATGAATATTATAAATAATATTTAAAACATAACAATATAAAGAAATAATAGTCTGTCAGCATTTGGCGCTCTATATTATTCATTTCCGATATACATAACGTATCAATAATTAAAAAACAAACAGAAAATGTATGCGCGCATTACAAAGTTAATTATTATTATTATTATTATTATTATTATCATATTCTATGGAAAACAAAAATAAACTTAAATTAAATTAAATATTATGTTGAACCAAAATTATTATATCATGTCCTTAAATGTTTTATAGGACCATCATGACTTCAAAACAAAAAAATTACAAAGTTGTATAATAGTTACGTCGAGTGCTCCTAATCATGAGTAGGTCACTGTATAATAGATTTTACAAATTTGCTTTCAATGATAATTAGTGGCATTATAAACGTTAAAAAACGATTTTGCGTGCAAATGGTCTGTTAGCCCATATTAATTTTAAAGGTCTTTTATGATATAATATTTATATTTTAATTAGTAATTTATTTCTCAATTAATAATAATTAAGTAGTTTTAATAATTTTTTACTAAAAACCAATCATATATATTATATAAAACTAATTGTAGTGTAATTTCATATAATATTTTTATTCGTCATAAAGATGTAATTTAAGATTTCACGTCCTTGCTTTCTGGGTATCAAATTCATAAAGCACACCATCTTCAACGCTTTAATTTATATCGTAATTTGTCGTTTGTAATAATGATCAGAAAAATCCATTAAAACTAAAAATAAACCTTAAGAGCTTAAACACTTATCAAACTATCCAAAATTAAAACAATATGAATGTACTTCATTTTTTATTCTTATTAATGTACAATTTAATATCATGATTAAAATGAAATTAAATTTACAAAAATAATAGCTCTCCATCCATTAATTCAATTTAAACTTTATTTAAACTCTTTAAAGTGCTGCACAAGTTTAATTTACCTAAAAAAAATTAATTATAACACATAATTATACTCACACAAACAAATTTATTAGTTATAATTTGCATTAATTTATTATTAAATATTTTAATATCTCTAATAATTGTTATAAGCATGTATTCGGATTAAAAATAATAAAATAATAAAATTGAATTTAATATTTACGTTTCAATATTATGTATAAACCTAATTGTAATTTATATCTTATAATATTAGATTATTGAACATGATTCACAAACTGTACATTATTTTTCCAATTATCGGTTTACTAGGAACTCAAATTATTGTGATTATATTCAATTTTAAAACGCGAAAACTTGGTAAAAAAAAAATTTAAAAAATATTGCTTATAGATGGCAAAAATTCAACTAGAATAATATTACAATTTATAACTTAGTCAATATCATTACTCAACAAACAACATAATATACCTATATAGTTTTGTGAAGTCTTGACAGTCATATCTTAGTGTTGTTAAAAGTAGACTTATTTATATAAATTATTTATTTGTCTAATGCCCATGTTACATTGATAATTAACACGTACACTGCCGATCGTGTTTTGCATTAGCACGAGCGTAACCATAACATAAAACCAGTCTCGCTTAATACTGTTAATTATGTGTTGCGCGCCCGATTCATGTTAATAATAAAAAAAATCTACAATTTTATATAAATAAATATCATTATTCATATATCATACGTACGTTTTTTAATAATATTATTATCAGTACTTTGGTTGTTTTCAATTTATACTGCAATACAGTGGTTACACAACAATTTTAAATGAAAATTCAACTTTTTTTTTTTGTAAACATTTATTTTTCATAAAACTAAATAAAAATAAAAATAATATTACTCATTAAATTAGACTATAGTTGTTAATTTACAAATAAGTATAAATATAAATTAAAATAATAAACATAATAAAATTGTTAATTATTTATTTCTGTGAAATTCTTCAAAACAGTTTAGACAAAGTCCTGGATCATCTTCACACATTGCACAATAAAATAACCTATTTAACTGCATAGTTTACATCTCTTATACATGATTTTATTGTTTTTATTTTTAGGTACTTTTTTAAATAAAGTGATGCTTTATAATTTGTGAGTTTTCCCTCAGTAGTATTACTTTCCCCAGAACTTAATAAAGTCGAAATAATATTTAGTAGATAATCATAAAATGATATTTTTTTACATTTTTGCTATACAATAAGTACGAATTAAGTAGTAAGATTTGTATAAAATGTATTCCTAGTTTCTTGAACCACTACAGCGTTTTCCTTTCGAAAGGATAATAGGAAAGCATTTGATCCTGTCTGCCAATATCAGACATATATTCATTATACTTTATCATGGAAACAGGTTTCGATTTAATTTCTCCTCTTCTATTAGTTATATTTACTAAATCGTGTGAATGTTTTGAAGATATTTCGATCACTTCCTGTCTGTCTTTTCATTTTACCACGCCAACTCCCTTCTCTTTATATTGATAAATGTTTTCACCTTTATTCAATTTTTATCATTTATAGCTCTAGGATTATTTTTTTTATTATTGGCTCTTTAAGTACAAGTATAGTATGTTTGATTTTCTAATAAATACTGTGCTAACTTGACAATGTTATAATAATTGTTCATATAGATTGAATAGCCTTTAATATCAACAACAATCAAACCATTATTTAATAATCAACTATTCATAGCACTTATATTTACTAATTAAAAATTATAAAATATAATATGGAAAATTGATGTTTAATTAATGTAAAAATAAATTAATTCTACGATAGTATTTATGATTATGTTTCTCTTTGCGTAAAAAATGTATTTATTTTTTTAATAGTTTTATCTAGTATGACACTCCTTGTAATTTCTGTTGCCTTCTCTCCTTAAAACCGACCCTGAACTGTTATTAACTTAATATGTTCTGACGTGTGCAAAGATATCTGAATGTATCGAAAACCGTGTCGATCGATCACGACCTCCATAGCGAGATGACACCAAGTGCAACCATCTGACGACGAATTTCCGTTGTTTAAATTATACATAATATAGGTCGAAACACATTACTGAAATAGAGTGGGGACCCGGGAGCGCTTACCTGTTTTTTATTATCGGTAAAATGCTCTGCCAATAATATACTAAAATAGTTGGAAAAAATAATATTTTAATTATTGAAATGTATTGTAAAAAAAATGAATTGATTATATCTTTGTTTTATTTTATTATTTGATTATGAATGATAAATCTTTTGGAATTTTATTTATATGAGGAAAAATAATAGATTTATTTGTAATAGATATAACATATTAATCTAACAATATTTTTTATTCAAATGAATAGTAATGTTATTTTATTATTGAAAAATATACAAATAGTATGGGTAGGGGGAAATGATAGTCCCCACTCTATATTATACTATTTTAATCTATTTGCGTGTTTTGTGATATACTATTCTAGTATTCGATTGAAAATAATCATAATTTAAGTGATTTTTAGTAGCCTGAAAGATCTATATAGACCCGATTGAGCCAATAAATACAATGAAAAACCAATTAAAATATTGATTGACGATTAGATTATTATTACACTAACGTATATACCTATTATTTAATATTTCTATCACGAATTGAACAAATTGAAACTATATGGTCAATATAACATAATTACGCTACTTTGAATATCTTATACCATGTTTGCGTACCTATATGTTAAGCCGTGCTACACACCCAAACGAAAAACAGAACAAATAAAAAATATTATTTTCAATGTTATTTTTAAATAATAAACTAAAATGTGATTTTAATACATTTTGCCTTATACAAACGATAAATCGTTTCTTATTCAATTAGACATTATTAAAATTAAAGTACGCATGAATTATTGATAATACATATTATTCATTAAAATAATTTTATAAAATCTATACATGTCTAATTCAATGAGGTATGTTTTATTTATAAGCAATAGTTTGTTGACTTGAAAAAAAATCTAGTAAGGCATTTTGGCGTGAGATAATAAGCAAATTAGGTTTTGCATTTAATTTAATTAAATTTATCCAGAGTTTAATACCATACATGAATTTAACGTTTAAATAAAAAATTACAAATGCGTATTTTGATTTTTTAAATTTTGAAGAATTTATCTAGAATGGGTTTGAACAAGTAAAATCGTTTATTTAATTTTAATTTAGTTAAATGGATGTATATTTCCCATGTCAAACATTTTTCAAAGGTTAGGCCTACATTTTTGACTGTGTCAAAGTTTGGTATGGGTTCAATGTTTAAATGTAGGTACTGATAAAGATTTTTTATGACTATGAGCATATTACATAATATAATATAGAGTATAGACAGATATATTTTCGTTAATTTTGATGTGTCTATAAGAATAATAGTAGGATAATACAAAATATTATATACAATAATTAACTACGAAATTTGCTTTTATTTTTCTTTCAGAACGCTGGCGTACATCTGTTTTCGTTCTTTGTCCTGTTATTGGGATCTGCTGTATTACTTGAAAACACCACAACAGGATCTGCAATAGTATCAGCAATCAGAGAAAGTATGATGAACTTGATAATGCAATCGCAAAGTGAATCCGCTACCATTACACTCAACATGATCCAAGAATCTGTAAGTAAAAGAATAATACATTCTTATTTTGATTAAAATATTAAAGTTATTGATATTTAAATACATATACCTATGACACATCAATATAATTTCTATTATTCTTATTAGAATTATAAATTCTATTTGCAATAATAATAATAATATAATGTTCTAAAAATTGTTAAACATCTAGATTTTATTGGAACTTCTTAGGGTAGCATTTTTATATATTCTCTTAATCCATTTAATAAGCGTTAGTAAAAAATGTGTAACATTATATACAGAGCGATTCTTTTATTAAACATATCTCATTTTATCAAAATGAATTTATGTTTAAAAAAATATTTTTTTACATACTTTCCAGTCAAAATAAAACAATTTTTTTTTTTTTTAATTAATAAGTTTTAAAATAATAATTCTTGTTTATTTAAAAGAACCATCCAGTATTTGTCCAAAATATTGTATTCATTTTATCACAATTTAAAAAATTCGCATTTTATCTAAGCTACAATATCTATAAGATTATTTTTCCATTTCACGAAATGGATATAAACTTTGACCATTACGCGAAACGTAGGTACAATTATACGATATGTATGCGACATATTTATAAATAGACACAATATAGTACACATTTTATATTACATACGTATATAATTAATTATCAAGTATCATAATTGGTTTTAGTATTATTATTTTTATACATTTATAATATTATTGCTAGTGGACTCCATTATGAATGGTTTTTGGCTATGTGATGATTTATTTTTGAATATTTATGTATTTATCTTTATTGACGGGCGGAGTCTTATACAACAATTTTAAATATTGATTAATATTATAGTCGGTACTATTGTCAAAATATGACGTCAGAAGTTCATTATTTCTTACCATATATTATCCAATGCAATACTTTTTGTAACTGTAATAATAAAATATATATTTTAACTTTTTTATATTCGATGAAAGAAAAATATATAATAAAATATAGTGTATCTTCAAACCCCTAAACAATGAACAATATTCAGATATTAATATACCTGTCTCATACGAAAAATAATTATTTTCGTTGAATATTATATTTATATGTTTTCTAACACAAAGGACAAAGGAATTTGTATGAAAGTATTTTATCTCAATTTTTTTTCTACATTTGTAATAATATATTGATATTTAAAACAGTTTTAAAATATAAATGAAAAAAATCTTATTATATAATCGCTAATCATAAAATATTGTTAACACTTTTTTTATAGTCGAGTCCTTTCTAAAGTTAACGATAAATTTAATTTTATGCTAAAACTTTGACAAAAAATAAAAAATAAAACCGTTAAGTTAACTTATTATTATATTATAATTTTTATTCAATTGTTACATATACAATATAGTAGCAATTTTCAATCAAAAAAAAAAATTAAAAAAAAATTAAAGAAATTGAAGTTTTAAGATCATTGATATTTCAAGAAAAAATTATATTTACATGTTTATCATCCATTCAATTTTTAAAATATATATTTAAAAATCAAATTTTCAAATACTTTGATGTGTATGATGCCATTTGAGAAATATCATAATATAGTAATACTAATTTGTTTTTTGTTTTTTTTTTTGTTTTTTTTTTTTTTTTTTAACTGACAACCACCATTTTTTCTTTACATCTATAGGCAGATAAATGTTTTAAAACGTTAATTCACTTTTCAAAAAAAAAAAAAAAAAAAAATTACACCACAACAGGATATTTTTGATATAAAAAGTTTAGGATTTAAAATTATAGTTTTTATTAATTATTATCTTGAAAATACCAAAAATTATTATTTATTTTAATTCTTTACTAAAGCAAACCCGGAAAAATAATAAACGAACCCCTTATACACATAAGCTTATTATGAAGTATTTTAAGAATGAATATTATTGACATAGATTCAGCTCTATTTACAAATTATTCTATTATAATAAATTTAATTTCCGTGACGTATTAAGTTGAACACGTAAAAAATAATAGTTACATAACAAAGACTAATTAGTTTGAATAAACTGATATAAGCTCGATATGACAAGTTAGCTAATGGATCTTTTATCAGTTATGTATAAAATAAATATTATATAAAAGTTGATCTTACGATAAGTCAAATTCTGAAAAATTATCAACCTTTGGCTAAAATCTAATAGAAAAATCAAATGATTAAACTAATAATTCATAATCACACGCATCACACATGGTACGTACACCAGTTTTTACTTGCAATTGAAAAGTAGTTTTTTTTTTTTTAAATAAAATGTACCTATTTATAGTTTAAATATAAAATTTAAAAACACAGTTTTAGCCATAATTAGGAGTGTGGAATTAATGTCTGATTGTTGAAAATGCACGACCCAACACTAATATTCTAATTTTCGAAAATAAAACGTATTTTACACAAGCGTGAATGTAATAAAATATTAAAATTAATTTCGTCATCATTGGCATAGCGTATACATGCAGAATTATAATATACACTATTTATCGCTATTGTTACAACGCATATAAACTCGAATATCTGCTGTATATATATATTGTATATGTTATATTAATGATATGAGTATGTGTATAGTTATATATACGACACCACGTTTGTTGAAATACAACGAGGACGTAATTATTTTATTAATTATTTTCGATAACGGGTAATATGACTAGATGTTATTAATTTTCAAATTTCCACTGAAAACATTAAATTTTAATCCACCAAACAAACAAAAGCACGTGGCCTGGATGAAACCACGCCCTACACAGTGGGTAACCTAACCTAAGAGAACGAAGAATCCATAGCCCACCCTCCAACAAAAATACACAACAGCGAAATATCAATGAAAGCTACTGATCGCCTGTTTCATACGGTGATAACATTTAAAAAATGTGTGTTTGTGTGTGTATTGAAAACAATTAAATATGACGTAAATAGAGTGAAATCGCACACTATACCAAGGTATTTAATGTCAACAAAATCAAAACTTAATCCAATAAACATACGCCAAACAATATTTTTCATAGACAATAAACCAACTAGCAGCAAAATAATTCAATTTTACAAAAAATAATGTTAACATCATACACGTATCTGTTATGGCGTACCTACATAATATAATTATGTACATACACGTATTTCATATTGAACATTAACTAATCATATTTATGATAAAGAGCAAAAATATTTTAAATATGTATTTATCATAACTGTTAGGGAAAGGCTACCTCTTTTATCTGCTTGTTTGAATGAAATCATTTATTTTCAAATTAAACTAAATCTTTGCTATTTTAGTGTAACCAATATCGGGCTATTCGTCGTTGAATTAAGACGACCCAAAGTTTTGATCATTGGATCTGAGGTATAATTACAAAGGCATTTACGCACTTTCCAATTAGCAGAGTGGTCAAATGGTTTGAGTTGGTGCCATATATCACTATATATTTGTGTAAGCGATAAATTGTTTCGATACGTTTAGAAATGAAGTTATTTACGCGAGTTGATAATGTATAATATTTATACATAGATTTTGAAACCGTAACTACAGTGTTAGTATACCCTTCCACTTTCGGCATGTGCTGATAGACAAGTCGCAATCAAATACAAAAACCTTCATGGAGCACTTCTACGGCCAGTTATAAATTAAAAACAACACTGATTAACGTACACGACAAAGCTTTGATTGAGCAATTTCTTTATTTTTTCAAATAATAATAATATTTAATCAACGATTCAAACAAAAATATCAATGTATTTATGACTATCTATAAACCATACTCAAAAATAATTTAAAAATATTAAAACCAGTAGTAAAGTGTTTATTATTTTTAACGACAATATTAATTAATATTATAAATTAGTAATTACTATTACTATTAGACCCAGTTACTAAATATACCATAACGGATTTGTCAATTTATTTTTTCCACCATTCAGAAACGCGTTAGAGTCGTTAAAGATAAAGCATAGCTTTTACGGACATCATAAACAGAACAAAGTCAAACAAACCAATTTCCGTTGTGTATTCGATACGTTCAGATCGTTTCGATGATACATAATCCTAAAATACAGCTGTTACAACGCCGAATTGTTCAACCGGAAACGGTATCAAGTGTCATCTTATTATACCAATGACGTACAATCGCAATGTATCTTTGAAAATGTATATTGTATACGAATATATACTTGAGAATATTCCCGTATAATCGAAAATATCTTAAATGTCCAGTAAAGTAAAATTTGTTTCCTGTTCACTGACAATGTTAACAATGCTGATGAAAAAACTACTTACTTAGGTATAGATGACTTATCTAGAGAAATTGTGTGCAGTGTATACAAAGCATTCTATAGGCCACTTATTAATTATAGCTTAATAACATGTGAAGGTTGTAAAAATAATGCAATATGACTTCTTGATATACAACAAAACTAAATAATAAAAGTTTGCTAAGCAAAAAAGATCTAAAAGGTTTCACAGTCTTTAACTATGAAAATCTAAAAGTATAATACCGGTTAGGTTACCATATAAACATTTTTTATGCAAAATAAATCTAAAAACAAATAATAGTTTTAAACATTCCAATATGCATGAAAATAGAATTTATGATGTTCAAGCTAGATATAAAAAATACTTTTGGAAAAAAGTTTCTGAATTATTTAGATCCATTGAATTTTAACGGCTTTGATTAAAAATATATACATTATACATATTCTTAATATTAATAAAAAGTCTAATTGTGAAATAAACAAAGATTCTATTATGAACTGGTTGTTAGGTTGACTTTTATTTTAAGTTTTTAATATAAGTTTTATAAAATTTTATAAATGTAAATAATTCAAAAATTTAAATTGTTAATTTTAATTTTAGGACATTTAAAACTTTTTTATACTATCATAAGCTTAGCTTCAAGGGATAAATTAATTTTAATGCATTTTTATTTTAAATATTTGAATTTAATGTTTAATAAAACAATTTAAAAAAAATAAAATATAATAAAATAGATAGATATTTTATTT